CTGAGCAAAGGTCTGGGGTAAAGTCACAGAAGTATGTAAAGTAATAAGTACAGTAGATGAGAAGATAAGAGTATTACACTAAGACCATTCAGAATACAACTGCTACTTTTGTGAAAGATCCTCTCATAATTTTGAACTATACCAAGAACCCTAAAATGGAGTAAGATAAAAATGCAAAATGAGCAGGTAATAATTTTCCTAAATAGAAACATTAAGACATAGAAGTGACATAGTTGTAAATGGGGCCAATATTGCTTGTTGGCTGACTTCTGTTGGCAGCTTAACAAAAACTCAGCAACAGAGTCATCTGGGGCTTCATGTGAACAGACCATTTCCTCATAAGAGAGCCAGTATGATCATCAAGCATGCCCTGAACTGGGAAAAGCACCAGGAACAGTAGGTGTGCTTTTGCAATGATGTCCTTTTTACCAACTAATTTTCCCAGTGTGTGGGCAGGGTTTACACACACATCTGTGGGCACACAGCATGCAAGGAGTCTGAATGTGAAGTAGGCCTGAATTGTTTAATGTAACTAAAAAATAAAGGCATTAACCAGAAATGGTAAAGAAGAGACACTGAGAAATCTAGGCACTGTTCAGCCAAACTCTTCTCTGGGGCAGAAGAGCTTCTAGTATTGTTTCCACACAAGGACACCACTAAAATGGAACTGATGTCACCAATTGTCTTAGTTTCAAGTCAGAATTCACCTAAGTACCATCCTTCTGATTCCACATGATTGTGTCTACATGATGTGAAATGTTTTTTAAAATTTACTGACCTTAGAGAAAGGGGGAGAGACACAGACATTTTGTTGTTCCACTTATTAGCGCACTAATGGGTCAATTCTTTTATGTGCCCTGATCAGGAATCAAACCCAAAACCTTGGCTTATCGGACAATGCTACCCAGCCAGGGCAGTAATATGCTTTCTATCTTATTCATAAGTGTATCTTCAGTGCATAGTACAGTACCTGGCACATGGTGGCAATTCAATTTAAAATACATTCATCTTTCTCATCATACAGTAAATTGGATTTCTACAGAGAACAGATTCAGTGCTGATACCAAACTAAATATATCACTCCATGTGCGATTTCTCATGGTATATTTACAAATTGGTATTCTTCTTTATTAGTCAGATACATGAACCTAGCTACTTTGGGTCCAAATGCAAGCTGAGCCTAGAAGGACAGGACACAAAACTTTAATAAATTCATCAAGAAGGGGGCATGTCTAATTTCTGAAGAGATTTCCCCTTCTCACTCGTCTACAGAGACAGGTGAGTGAAGCCACACCATGGAAGGTAACTAGAGAATATTTTTCTGGCTGTAAATACCATACAATGAGTCCTTCATATCCTCACATCCTGCATCTGCAGATTCAACCGGGGGTGGGAAATACTTGAAAAAAATTTAGACGGTTGGTGATGTGTACCATGTAGTTAATTAAGCCTGTGATGCTTGCATCTCCTTAACATGTATAGACTTCCTTGTCATTCTAAACAATAAAGTGTAACCATTCATAAGCCATTTATATTACACGATGGATTACAGATAATTTAGAGATTAAATTGTACAGGAGGATATGTAGGTTATATGTAAATAGGCCATTTCACATAAGGTACCTGAGCATCCTCAGATTTGGATGTCCGCAGAATGCTCTTTTCTCCCTGCTGGTTTTCAAACTTGGGGGTAGGAGATAAAGGGGGGGTTCAAACACGAAGGGCTCCAACACCCCCATCTCTGTCTCAACCAGAAGCAGTGATATTTTATCTGTTTTACATGCTGGGCTAAAGCGTAACAGTTTATTTTTTTACTGGTCTAGGCTACCCATTTCCTACAGTTATATGAGTTTACCTTCATTACTTTTCCCCATACAAAACAATGAGCTGTACACAAAATTACTTATGATCCCACAAAACAGAGATTATCTTTTTTTTGCATAAAAACTTCAACAATTCATAAATTATATCTTTTCAGGCTACACAACCCACATGACCAGCTTTTAAGCATACAATGTTCTGACATGTTTTCTCTAAGACTTCAGGATTCAATTTTCTAGGCAAGTGTAATTCTGATAGATAAAATTTGCCCATACTAAATGAATTTCTTCTACAGCATAATCTGTTTGTAAATATAGAACACTTACACTGTTCTATATGTCAATGTCATTCACTTTTACCTTGCAATGATTAAAAAGGGGAAATAAACATTTTCCCCACTCCTCTTGCTTCCAAATGTTGTAGTCTCAATTTTCTAACTAAATTCTAATGCAAGGCAACTATAGCACATTAATTCAGCAAAGTAACTCCATTTCCCTTCATTACCCAGGATTGAGAATATAAAAGCACCGAACAAATTTATGACAAAGTTAGAGCTCTTAGTTGTTCTCTTGGATAACACACTCAAAATAATAGTTACTATCAATATCTCTTGCAGGAAAGAAATTTTAAATTCATTACTTTCAAAGGAAAAAAGTATCATCCAGTAACTGAGGATAATTTTAGCAAGAGGGGAAAAAGAATCAATCAATCTGCCTGAAACATATTATAAGATGTTTTTGTTTGACTTGTTTAAAGACTTTTGCTAAAAGCAACTAGTGAGAAGACCACGGCTTCTGTGTAAGAAACCAAATTAGTTTCTTACACAGAAAGTTGCTATTCCTTTGAGTATTTCTGAAAATTTCTCAGGAAAGTCTTATCATTCTAAAGTGTCTCTAATTAAACACAAATTATTTGTTGTCACATAAAAATCTAGGGCAGAAAAAAAATCACCAATAAACAAAGGGAAGATAGTTGTTGTTTTTTTTCTTGTATTTTTAACTGATAGAGTCAACTTTAAAATATATTTTTATTGTTTTCAGAGAGAAAGGGAAAGATAGAAACATCAATGATGAGAATCATTGATCAGCTGCCTCCTGCACGCCCCCTACTGGGGATCAAGCCCACAATCCAAGCATGTGCTCTTGACCAGAATCAAACCAGGGACCCTTCAATCACAGGCCTACGCTCTTTCTATCCACTGGGGCAAACCAGCTAGGGCTGTGTGTGTGTGTGTGTGTGTGTGTGTGTGTGTGTGTTTTAAATAGCCTTAATCAGTCCAACAAATACAGTATTTAGAATCAATACAGAACAACAAAGTCCTCTCTATGAGAGTATATGTTTACATTACTTAACAGAAATACAGAACTAAGAATTTCATTCTCTCACTTTAATAGGTTGGCTTATTCATAACCAAATTTTACATCAACCTCATTTTTATCAGCTCCCTCATATTTAAAATGCAGTTGTAAATGTAAGTGGTTGACTAATTTTAATTTTTAGTAAAAACACCAGTAATTAGAAGGTATATTAAAGCAGTCCTGTTTGGAGGTTATGGTTCCATTACTGTGTAAGAACATGTGGAAGATAACTTTGAGGTGCACTTCTGTCTGTTGAAATTGGATGTGGTGTTTAAAAACTTCCTAAATTCACCTGAATCAAATATATGGGGAATAAAATAGGTGATTAAACTGAGTACTTGTGCTACAGATTAAGTTGTGACTATTAAGAAACTCCCTCTACCTTCTTATTAGACTCAAACTGTCTTTAAAACATTTTGGAAAAGATTTCCCCAAACCTTTTGGATAACAGTAGGACTGTTAGAATTCCAAGAGGGCCTGTCAAGTTGTCTGCCCCAAATAACAGTAATTTTTTGAATAATTTGTAAGTTTTACTTCTTTGGGTGGAAAGTTGAACTACATGCAGGGTCTCAGATACTCCCTCCAAATGCTCAATCTTTACAAACATAGTCACACCTCATACATACAAACAAAATAAGTCCTCACGCCATACTATATGAGCAATGGGCACTTATAACATGGGAACATCACACAATAGAGTACATTTTCCTGAAAATGAGCACATAATAATTTGTTTCACCTCAAGTATAATACCATTAAAAGTATAATTGAGAACATACAGAAGCCAGCTTCTAGATCTTTAAAAATCACTTTAATATTATTGGAGGCGATTAATACTTCAGTTACAGACTTACTAGTCTGCAAATTAATTCAAGTCAGTAGTTATTAGACAACAAAATAACTGTACCAAAGGATACTTTCTAAATAACTTAAAAGAAGTTATGACTTTAAAGTTTTTAAAAATTATTTTCCATACAAGTTCCATGATAAAATAATTTAAACACATGATTGACTCCGCAAGTTTTTTTAAAAAAAATTATTTTAAAAGTTACAAGAGGAAATATTTTTCTTTGTCCTGTGCCTTCTTTCTCCTCTTTCCCATCCTATTTCTGTTCTTCTCAATAGATATTATGAATGAAAATTCAAGAATTCAAGGTAAAAGATGTAATTTTGCTTCATAGAAACCATGACTTACATTGTATAGTAAAAGCAAGATAAAACTTGGGTAGAACCAAACTTTTTTCAAGAAAATATAGACTGAGAAGAACAATAACCCACAAATTAGGATTTATAATAAGATTATCTTTGGAAAGTAGATATTTTCTCTCTAATAGAAATAGCAAAACGTTCCATATTCTTTTCTTTCCCAATTGCATGGTTAATTAGCATACATCCCATCAGTGTGCATGAAAACAATTTCTAAGCCAGAGGTATTTAAATGATTTCTTCAAAAGTGTTTTGGCTAATTCAATGGCCAAGAAAACATGATGTTTAGTCTCTAGATAGTCAAGAAACAAAAGATGTAATTTCTGAGGCTTAAGCCAATATGTCCCAGCAAACATCTGTCATTACATTAGCTGTAAGTCTTCCTTCTCAACAAAATAAAACAAAAAAAGCACTGCTTAAGTGTACATTCATTCCAGTAAACTTCCAACAGCTCAGCTCCAGATGACCTAGGGATGGAGTGAGTCATCTGTCAAGCATGGAGTGGTCCAAATAACAGGGATAACTTCATCAGTAACAGCTGGTAATAGATGCTGGCCCCTAGTCAGGTAGAATACCCAATCTTCATTGTCAAGGAAGGAAACTAAGTCCAATCTTCTAAAACACGTAACGGCAAGTCCAGGAACGTGGCCGGATATAATCCAGAAATGTGGGCTTTGAGGGGGAAAAAAAAAGGAAAATAAATGTAACTGACTTGTGTGCACTATGTGCATGCGGTGTAGGGAGAGAAGGATGTTAGTGTCATATCTGAAAACCTCTAAAATGCCTCTTGGCATTTCAGTAACCTTTAAGCTATAAAGAGTTCAATAATTCAAAAGATGTTCATTATTTTTATTACAGCATAGATTTACTTGGTTTAGAGGCTTTATACAAAGCTTTTAAAGTCTACACAATTGCACTTCTGACCAAATGTCAAATAGATACTTCTTCTTTATGTGTCTTGCATTTTATTTTAGCACACCCTTACTTTTAGTAGTCCAGAACAGTTAGTTCAAATGCGTACAGAGGGTTAGTAGGAAATAAGGAGGGAGCATTGGGCAGCATAGCAAAAACAATGTAGACAGGAGAAGCTTTGGCAGAGAAACTAATTTGATTGTGGGCATCTTCAGTTATGGGTGCCTGTGAGAAATACCCGGATATATAAAGCAGCTGAAAGCTAAAGCTCTAACGACGAGACTCTTACATGATCACGAAAGACCAAACAACAATAGCAACAAAAGAAAATGAAGGAAAATGGGATCCTAGGCATATGAGCGTACCTGGATATTTTTACAAAGACGTGATACTTTGGAAGGGAAGAGGTAAAATATCCATATATATTTAGGTGTGTATGGAGGATAGGATATACATGTCCTACATTTTTAGGACACAGGAAGAAAATTAGGAGCTAAAGAAAAAGCAGTGAAAGAGTAGGAAATTAAAAAAAAGGGGGGGGGGTGGAGCACCAAGTAGGAGAGTTCAAAGTGAAGAAAAGCAAAAGAAAAATTTTAAGAACAGTAGCAGGAAGATCAGATAATGTTTCTCTCTCCTTAACATTACTTCATCATAATCTCCCACTACTCTCCTTCCCCTTAAAATTGCTCTCCAATCCTCACAATCGGGGACAAATATGTCACTTTTCCACTGCAGCCTGACTGCGGACTCACATTTTTCAGAGGACAGTGCTGACGTGCATACCACTCTTGAGAATAAAAGCACAGGAGGACTCCCTGGCCCGCAAAAAGGGAAGTCCACATCATGACGTTCCAGATTGGCCTTTTCCGGCTATCATTGACAATGAAGTTGAAAGCCACTAAAGTTAGGAAGAGAACAAAAGATATATATCCAGACAATCTATAAGCAGCCTCAAATAGCTACTATAGTCATCTAAGTATCACAATGAGCATCAACTGTGCACACATGGTTTATTCTGGCTGCTGCTCCTATAAATAAAAATGAAGCTTCAGTGTTGAGGTTTATTAATAGTGATGAATTGGAAATAAGATAGTATTCAGAACAGGTGAACATATATTTCATTGAATCATTCATATTCTAACTTATCCTTTCCTCCCCACCCAAAAAAGGGTCAGTTTTTTTCAGCCGGGAACAATGATAGAATTGAAGAATGGGGGAGGTGTTTTTGTGACCTACCAAATCACTGTTACGTGGCTCATTTCTCTATTTCAAAGTATAAACATTTTGAAACAGAGTGTGTATAATTACTCAAAACAATGTTCTTTACCCTCTGATAAGCAAACACTGCCTTGAGATAGTATTACAGCTTATTATCTACCTTTCTACATTGATTTTATACTTTATTTTCTAAATTTCTCTTTTGGCATCTCCCTCAGTCCTCATGGCATGCCAAGATACTTACTCCCAAAGAACATGAAGAGCACGAAGAGCACTGGGTAGAAAAAGCTCAAGCAAACAGCGATGGCATATTCGTGGACGACAGCAGACACAGCAAAGACGGCTAACATGGCAGCAGACTTGAATCTCTTAGTGAAAAACTAGGGTAAAAGGAAAATATTAGAAAACAGTTTTTAAAAGGGTAACTAAGCACAAACTACATAAGACTTATAATTATCACATGTTAAAGGCATAAATTTAATTATATTTATACTGGAGGCCTGGTGCACGAAATTCATGCATGTGGGTAGGAGGGTGTGGAGGGTCCCTCAGCCTGGCCTGCATCCTCTCCAATCCAGAACATCCCTATTGCAATCCAGGACTGCTGGTTCCTAATTCCTCATCTGCCTGCCTGCCTGATTGCCCCTAACCGCTCTACCTGCTTGCCCCTAACCCCTCTGCCTGCCAGCCTGATCGCCCCTAATTGCCCTCCCCTGCTGGCCTGATCACCCCCTAACCACCCTTACCTGCCGGCATGATAGCCCCTAGCCACCTCTGCCTCTGTCCCCGCCACTGTGGTTTTGTCCAGAAGGAAGCAGGACGACTGGAAGATATACAGTCGACCTAGTCCAATTATATTACCCTTTTATTAGTACAGATTGGACTTTCCAATCTACTCCTTGGATTAACCCAAATATATTATAATTAGAGAAAACACCTATGCTTAAAAATCCTTATTTTCAAATAAGGCATTTTCAAAACCAATAATGTTAAAAGAAAGATCGAGGCATATTTTAAAAAATATTAATAACTTATAGTGGTAAGTCACTCTGAAGGACAAAACATAGTTTTTATATATCAATGAAGACATCACAGGTCTCAACCTTTAGAGTAGCACAGTATGGTAGACAGGGCAGGCATCCTCTCCATTTTTACAGGTAACAAAACTAAGATTTAGAAAGAAGAGACTTCCCTTGTCCATAAGTGAAACTACATATATAAAGGAAAGAACACTTGAATACAATGCTATCTGAACTCGAATACAATACTATCTGAGCCAATAATCTGGTGGAAGTACCAGCATTAACCCTGATATTCAAGATTTCATTTCATCAGTCTAGATACATTCTGCTTTGAAGAATATCTCAAAGACCTAGTAAAGGATCAATTGGAGAAATGTTAAGTCCAAATATAGAGTGGTTCTCCACTTTGAACAGATTAAAAAAAAAAAAAAAAGTAAATGAAGAAAAAGTTAGAGGGAGATTATCTGTTATCAGTGAGATTCATAAAAAATGACCCATAAATGATGGATCATTTCAACTTATCTGAATGTTGCCTGCATTCTTACTTTGTAATTGTTTAAAATAAAATCCAGAATGAAAACATGGTATTACACCCAGTAACTGTCCATACTGGTCTCTCCGCAGTATTATTCAAGGCAGAAGATTTCTTAGACATAAATGGCTCCTAAGAGAATTAAAGACTACTAAGTATAACTTCCTCCAGCTGTACAATATTAATACCTGTACTGTCTGGAAAAGGATCTCCATTTCTTGAACAACATCAACTAAATGCTGCTGCTTACCCAGAGAAAGTCCTTGTAAGCATAGTAATACAGCCAGTCATGGACCACCACATTCCAGGTCCTGTAATAGTTGGAGTAGGATGTGGAATTCCACCAATCCTGAGGAAAAAAACCAAAGCTATAAAACTACACACATGCCACAAACATATACATGTATATACACACAGAGCCAAAGCAAAAACCCCTGAATAATCCCAAAGAACATACACACATAATACCCAGTGTGTTATGATAAACTATCAGTCCATACACAGATGTCAGAAAAATCTTAAAAGGCATTTTGGTGAACTGATGTTTAGTAAGACATTAATTCTAGTTCTATATGATTCATTCCCTAGGTTCACTTTGTCTCATTAGAAAACAAGTTATGGTGGAAGACACAGAACATAAACGATCATTCATTCTATTATACCTCTAAATAGCAATCAGTTAATCCCCATTGCCTTGCTTAAAACACCAGAGAATACAGGGTTACATAGCATGCTAAAGCTGAAGAGTATAAGGAGCGAGATTGTGGCTACCTCCAAAACCTGGTGTTCCTTTCCATATATCTTGCTTCCTACTTTAATTCAGACTAAGGGATGCCAAAATTGGTTTGGCTCGTGGTAGAGCGTCGGTCTGCGGACTGAAGGGTCCCAGGTTCAATTCTGGTCAAGGGCATGTACACTGGTTGCGGGCACATCCCCGGTAGGTGGTGTGCAAGAGGCAGCTGGTTGATGTTTCTCTCTCATCGACGTTTCTAGCTCTCTATCTCTCTCCCTTCCTCTATGTAAAATATCAATAAAATATATTAAAAAAAAAAAATTCAGACTAAGGGAATCAGACACCTAAAATTCACAGCCTACATTCACTATTTATTTGAGAAAGAAGTGGTAGGCTTGGAGTGTTACCAAAAACACAAACTAAACTTCAGATCCTGAGTTTAGAACTTAATTCTAACTTTGCAAATATAGAATGCTATTTTAAGCAGAATTAATGCTTTTCATAAATAAAAAAGGAAAAAGTTATTTCCTCTCTTCAGTAAATTATTCCCTTTAAATGGAATAATTTACTGAAATTACTCCTACAGCACCAGGCAGCCAATTTCACATGAATGACCAGTCAGCAAAGTATCATACCACCCTCTAGACACATGCTTTCCTTCTGTAATTACCAACACAGGATCCAGCAGAAACCATATGTCATGGGAAGGGGAGGATATCAGAGGTAGAAGATAAGGCTTTACTAATTACATTGATATCAGAATTTCAGACTTCATACCTACAATGCTCAAATACCTGGCAATGAGGACATAATAAATTGTGAAAAGAAAAATAAGTCCCAGTATACATTACCTTATAAAACATTCTGTCACCAAAGCGTAACATCTCGGCAAAGGCATTGAGCCAACAGTGCAAAAAGGCAAAAAAAGTAAGTAACAGCCCCAGGACACCTGAAAATAAAATTAATAATGTTGAGTAATTCCAAATAGCTCATATACCAAGCAGTTATTTTTGTCATCACCTGCTTAGCTAGAACTATTTTGCAAAATAAAAATGATTATTCCAGCTTACTCATTCCAGAGGTGATAGTGCTCTTCTTAAAGTTAATTATTTCCATTTTATAAAGCAGTCACTTTCTTCCAAATGGGTTTTACAGATGACAAATGAGCCTGTTTTTAATAGAAATGCCTCAATACCCAAGGCCCTTTAAAATCCGGCCCTCGTGCATTCCCATAAACCAGTTGTTTGAAACTGGGGGACAAGTCCCCTACCACCACCACCCGCCAGGAACATTTGACAATTCTGAAGCATTTTTGGTTGTCACAACTCAAGGATTGGGAATGTGCTATTGGCATCTATTTGTTAGAGGCCAGAATGGTACAAAATATCCTACAATACATAGGACAGCCCCTCAAATCAAATAATTATCCAGCCCTGAATGTCAATAGTGATAAGGTTAACTAATCTCCGATTCCACTCCCAGTGTCACACACATCATCCCTACCTGGACTTCGACTATTCTAAAATAAGTCTATGCCTTTGCACCCATCCCACTACCTGAAAGCGCCTATCCACCACTTCATTAATGAGACAGATGGAAAGAAGCCAAGATAGAAATAGATATGTAGATGAATTTATAAGTGAAAAGCAGGTAAATCAAAGGTGCATTAGCTTTCTATTTTCCTTGCAACTTTATAAGTGGCCAAATTAACCAATACCCATGTTACCTGGCAAGATGGAGTTAAATACACACAGGATCAGAACACGAGCACTGAAGGGCTCCTGCTTGATATTCCGAAACAGGGGGGCACAGAGCCTTTCAAAGACGTAGTACATATAAAACAAGCAGCCAAACACCTGGAACACAACAAAGATAGTCGTAAGAATGATGGCTCGGTAAGGAAAGATGGTGATTCTCCTCCAAAAGAAGATACATATGTGACCTCTAATGTTTACATATATATTCCACTTAACACTTATATGTAAGATTGCAAATTGTACCCTCCAGATATTACTCAGGCCTAGTTTCTTCCATATCTTTTCCCAACCCTTTACCAAAGGGCATTTGTAAAAGATCAGACTCTTGGGACCTGATTTTCCTGCTACTTGAACCTATACCAAAATAATTTGTCCTAAAAACAATAATTTGTTTCTTAAATGGGTATTTGGTTGAAACAAGAATTTAAAATGGGATTTTCTGGGATTTGATTCTGATAAGGGGTTTAGGAGGAAGAGGTAGTGAGGAGTGTCAGGCCCACCTATATATCCAAAAATATAAAAACAGGAGGGGAGGTGGAAATTAGTGTAGGTGCTGACTGAAGTAACCAAATGGAATTACTTTAATTAAAACAAATTATTTTATTGAAGAAAATTAATTTTGATATTGGCAAAACAAACACCATTCACTGTATTGAGAATAATTTCAAAACTTCAGAAAGAGTTCTACAGCTCCCAATAAACATAAATTTACTAACACTTTAAATAGATTAAGTTGTTATAATCAATTCAAATCCCCAATCTCCCACCAATCTCCCACCAATCACCAAACCTCAGGCAGTGAAAAAAAACTTACCTGTGCAAACTGCATAACCACATAACTCCATCTTATAGTGGGAGTCCTAAAAAAGAAGCAACAAAATAAGTTTTCTAAATAAAGTACATTCTGTCAAGAGTTACTGTGATCAAATAAGACTGCTAGAATCACCATTTGGGGCTCTCCGGGCTAGGGGAAAAAATGAAAACTCATTCTACATTCTCTGCAGCCCTACGTGAGCTGGCCCTTGCCCGTCTGCTGCACCTCACTCCTGTCACACTTCAGGTGCTTCGCACCTTGGTACTTCATAGTGCCGTTACCTGGGGTAGTTGTCCCGGTAGATGAGGGTTGGAGCAAACAAGAAATACAAGTACTGGTTGACTGTGGGTACCGGAACAGTTTCTGGAAAAGGAAAACTTGGCTAGCAAAACTACAAAGGGAAAGTAAGGAAGCACAGGATAGGGAAGAATAAAATGACTTCTTAGCTTATGTTGTTTCTTTCTGATCTCCCAAAATGAAGACTTCTTATTCGAATATTAATAGACCAATCCCTCTAGACTGAGTTATTCCTGTGACTGAGATAACCTCTAGAGTTTTAAGCGACAACTCAAATAGTAGTACGCACACATGGGTGTGATAAATTTAACATTGTATAAAAATTACATAAAGTTACAAGAATCTAATGATCAACGGTTTTAAATGGCAGGTACCAAGACAAAATAGAAACAATCAGAAAATAGTGAGATAGTCTTCCAAATCAATGTGGAGGCTACATAATTAAAATCAAACATAATGTCTGCAGAATGTAATGTGCCATCCCCCTAAACCCTATAAATACCCTATGAACAGTACTTTGATGCAATAAAATTACATACTTGATTTCTCCTTAGCTGAAGTTAGTACCCGAGGCACATTCTCTCTGACAAACGAATGGACCTTCATTATCATACGAATCTAAAAAAGGAGAGGGGGAAAAAGATGTGTTTTCTATCACTGTCTTGCCTCATATAAGCAACCCCAGAACAACACTACATTATAGTCACATGAAGAATGTTTTAATTCTACATATACCAACTCAAATTCACTTCTATGGAATAAAGCAAAATAAAAACAACCTCTAAAGAAGGACATTTTATTTTGTGCCAAAAAGTACCATATTACAAAACTATCAAAGAAAGGCTCCTGACATGGTCCTTTCCATTACTCAAACAGCATTATGGACACCCAATGTAAGAAAATCGGAAGGGTGTGTGGACAAAATGAATCTGTTTTTTAGATGGAAACAGTTATATGACAAAATAATGAATCTGACATTTCAAAAGTGGGGGGTTTTGATTACAAAAACATTTTATGGTATAAATGACTACTAAAAAAAGTATTCAAGAACAAAATCTGAATTCATCCAGAACAGTTCAATATGATTTATTTAATTATTAAGCATCAGAGAACACTGAAGTTAGAACAAATTTTATGAGATGAGATGATCTAGTTTAATATTTTAATTTTAGACAATAGCATAAAGAATCAGTTATAAAAATTTGTCCAAAATAACAGAATATCAGTATTATATTGTTATAATGATAATGTTATTATTATGATGATGATTATTACTATTATTCCATCATTATTTTAACTAAGCACAGCATTTGAGAAACACTCAAACCCTTACCTGTTCAAAGATAACAATGCAACGGGAAGCTGGTGGTAGTGTATATGCTAATACAATATACGTTGGTCCAAAACCTAGAATTCCAATCTGGAAGACCATGAGAAGCAAGCCATGGAAGAGAGAATGGATCACTGGATGAGAACTCTTGCTGTAGCCTCTGGCCCAATGTTGAAAGAGGAAATAGGGAACTGAAAGTGTACTCAAGAACATGGCGCACCATGTGCATATAACAACAGGAAGCTGGCCAAAAGCATAATATATGAGATTGAACTCAAGCACCAGCCTGGGGAGAAAAAGCACAGAGGAAAGACACAAAAGCACATTTTTAAAAATATGCATTGATTCACAGAATTCAAAACTCTCAGCTTTAGGAAACACAGCAATGTTAACACACTGAAGTCATTGAAGTTGTGCTACTGAACTGCTTCTAAGACTGCTTCACAATATATTTCAATAACAAATTTTCTAAAAGTCCTAAGATAATACAGTCTTTGCACATAAAATGCCTAATATAACTTAAAATAGTAAGTCTCTAAACTTCTCAAAAGTTAGATTCTTACATTAATACATTTTAAACTCTAAAATATTCTATGGCAAAGTCTATATTTAAAGTATACAAACAGCAATCACTGTTATGTACAAAAGATGATTTTTCAGAAGGAAATAGGTATAAGTAAAACAATCTATGGGGGGTGGGAGTGGCCGGGGAAGAAGTCAATGGGGGGAAAAAGAGATATATGTAATACTATATTTAATACTTTAAACAACAAAGAATTTAAAAAAATAAAAAATCTATTAATATATTAAATCATCTCAAAATTTAATTTTCTAATAAAGCATATAATTCAATGTATGATTACTACACTGTCATTTTTAAAGTTACAATTTGATTTTTATATTAAAAATACATTTTTCAAATGTGAAATTCCAATAAGTTACTTATTTTTAGTACCTAGCTAAAATGTATACCATAATAAAAAAAAATTTGATAAGTCATATATACAAAATTCTCCCATTTAAGAAAATTACATAGAAACTACCAATTATGGTCTATTCAAATAGACCATTTAGAAAAATAAAAGTAATGAAATTTCTAATCTTCTTTTTAGTTGTATTTACTTTTTGAGGGACAGAAATCTGAACCTCAAATCAGCTATTTTGGAATTTTCTGAAGCAAATTTAACCAAATCACCCCCTACCAAATTTTACATAAAAGGAAAACTCCCAACATCCTATGAGCCAACTAGCCAACCATCCTTTTTCTTGTCTTACCTTCCTTCATCAATGTAATCTACCACAAGTGTGCTGAGGATAAAGAGAATGAGGAGGGCAATAAACATGTGATATATTGTTCTGATGTGGTCCACCTCGAACAGCTCACTGTAAATGTAGTTTAAACAAATAAAATGAATAATTTATATTTAATTTTTAAATGTCATATATTAAAGATTTTAAAGCAGTCCAGAAATATTTAACCTACCCTCCAAAATATCTCAAACAGTAACCACAGAATATTAAGCCTGAAGTAGAGACCGGAAGTGACATGACCAAAGTAAAACTTATTGGAAGAGCTTAGGACAAGGCTCTTTCTGATAAGATAAATAGTGCTTCCTAGAAAACAGCACGGATATCAAACATTTTTTAAAAAAAATGTGCGCATTCCTGAAAACCTGCCAGAGGTGACTTCTAATGTAGGCAAAAGGCCATTCACTGGAAACAGGGGACACAGGGGCTATTTCAAAGGCTAAAAACTTTTTTTAAAGTCTTACATTCCTCTCCCCCCCCTTTATGTGTGTGTATATGTATATATATATATATATATATATATATATATATATATACACACACACACACACACACACAAATTAAGATAGCATTTCTATAATATTGATCTACCCTATTAGTCTATAAACTTAACCATTTACAAATGCTTTTATTTTCTAGCCTCTTTGATCTTTTTATTTTACTAAGACTGGGCTACTTTTAAAACACACCAATTACTTTCTATATGACTTTTTCTAAATAAGGACTTTTTATATTTGATTAAAACAAGTGTTTTAGCTTTATTTGTGGCAAGACGTAAGCTAATCTCCTAACTTTTTGAGACATCTAAAATACTATTAAATGTTTGGGTTAAGGACCTTCAATTCTAATAAAAACCCACCTGAGCCACAAAATACATGTTTTGTTTCCTTGATTTAAAAATGTATATTTTAATTTTTTTTATTTTTCACATATAGAATACTATCACTTAAATCTTAATTATAATGTTGAAAATATTTGCTTTAATTTCTTTTACATGGAAAGCCGGCATTTCCCCCAGATATAGATGTTAAAAGCTAAATCTCTTCAACATAATACTGAAGTGATAGTCTACATTAGATATTTAGAAAACGTCGGCCTTCTAATCAAAGCTAAGTAATACAGACCAATTTGGCCCATAGAAAATAAATTTTGATAAGAATATGATGCATTTTTTGCCGAAACCGGTTTGGCTCAGTGGATAGAGCGTCGGCCTGCAGACTGAAGGGTCCCGGGTTCGATTCCGGTCAAGGGCATGTACCTTGGTTGTGGGCACATCCCCAGTAGGGGGTGTGCAAGAGGCAGCTGATCGATGATTCTCTCTCATCAATGTTTCTAACTCTCTATCCCTCTCTCTTCCTCTCTGTAAAAAAATCAATAAAATATATTAAAAAAAAAAAAGAATATGATGCATTTTTAAAAGAAAAGCACATCCATAACTAAGATCCACCAGCTCAACTATTTCAGGTGACCTACACTAATGCAGATTAAATTACAGGAGTATTCTAATGAATGAATGATCTCAGAGAACATTACAAAAGAAATATTAATTACATACTCAAAGTGCACCTTTACTTTTGAGTTCACAAATGATGTCACCACAATTAATTTACCTTGCCTCATGTCTTTTTCATAAGGTCCACACAATCAGGGTTTTAAAATAAGTAATCTGAGAAAACTATCATGTGTTTACTCTGGCTAGCCAAAGAAGAGATTAAAAATTATATATAAAAAAGGCAGCAACACTAAAACTCTCTTGAAGTGGTTTACCTAAATAGAAAACCCTATCCTAGCTCTTTGAGTAACCAGTTATCTGCAGCACAAATGGAAGGAATTTATCAAAGACAGATAATCATTCTGATTTCTAACTCCTCCTTTGAAACTAGATGCAGAGCCAGGGCACAACAAATGTACAAAGAGCGTTATCAAAACAAATGATATATATCACTGTAGAACAAACTCTTTAAACATTCATAGATTAAGCAGTGATTCCAACAATCAGAACAGTTGTGTGTATGTCTTTTATTTTATTTTATTATTTAAACTTATAGTTAACCAAAGCATTTAAAATACTTACTCTAAGAGAGATCGCCTTACAACAAAAATCTTTCCGTGTTCTGGAGGTGCTCTCAGATCTCTGGGAAGAGCAAAAAATAAAACAAAATGTAAGTACTAGTACTTCAAGTATTATAAGAAATGTAAGCCTAAGAATAAGAGGAAGAATATTACCAACTGCGGCAAGTATAATTAATTAACTGCCTCTCAGTAGGACGCAGGTCCAGTGAGTAGGATTTTATGCGTGCTGTCTCATTTACTCCTGAGCCCTGCTCTGAGGCAGATACACGCCTATCTGGGCAGGGAGGAAGAGGGGTTAGGCGCACCTCACTAAGGCAGCTCTAGTTCCTGACGCTACACAGACCACCATCTTCCTTCTCCTAAACATCCGTAAGTCACATTCAGGCCCCAGCCATCCTTACTCCAGTCCACTATTGTCACTGGTCTGCTCTCCAAGATGCACTGATATCTGTGATATCCTCTGCAATGTCAAATTCCGACAATCCCCAACAGCCTCCTGCTGTTAGAGGCTGCCTCCAGTTATTAAACTCTGCTAACATCTAGCATGATCATCTTCTTTAGGGCTCTCTGCAATACTGCCGGCACTTCCACTGACTATTCCTGGTTCAATCTGTCCTTCAGAAAAGGAGGGACTGACAAAGACCACAGACGCACAGAACCAAGGAAAGCACAGAATGGCTAATTAGTGCACAATGGCCTGTGAGAACCTTCCCTCCATTCTCTGGGTCAATGGTAGGCAAACTCATTAGTCAACAGAGCCAAATATCAACAGTACAACGACTGACATTTCTTTTGAGAGCCAAATTTTTTAAACTTAAACTTCTAACACCACTCCTTCAAAATAGACTTGCCCAGGCCGTGGAATTTTGTGGAAGAGCCACCCTCAAGGGGCCAAAGAGCTGCATGTGGTTCGCGAGCTGCAGTTTACAGACCATAGCTCTGGATGACCGACCGATTAAAAAAATAGATACTAACGCACTGTACTTTAAAACAAGTATCACAGAGAATACAACAGAGAGGCAGAATAATGATGTGGCGAAGAGAATGGAATCTGGGTTCAAATCTCTGCTGCAGAATCCTGGACAACAACTAACTGCTGGCTCTGTGCTTCCGTTTCCTAATCTGTACTAGGCAGATAATTATACTACCTACCCACAGGGTCACAGTTTGGTATAATGAAAAGCACCCAAGGTTAGTGTCAGTATAGTCTTATTAATAAATGAAGTAGTATACACATTTGTTATAAGCCACTTATTAAGATGAAAGAGCACACCCTTCCAGTGGTTATACGTATGTCTAGAGCAGTACACAGCTAAGGAAAAGTGGTGCCAGGTTGTGCATCCAGGCATTTTTACCGCAATACACATAGTAACCGCTGAGCTACACTAGAGCAGATGTCTGCATTAGAAGAATCCAATACTCATACTTACTTAGCTCTATGGTTGTTCACACCTTCGAGAACAGAAAAGGATGTGAGAGTACACCCACCACTGTCCAATGATACTGATTTCTCAATGAGATTGGTCACAAAATCATCAAAGTGAGTGCCAACTTCCTTCATAAAATATGGCTTCAATTCCTAGAATTTTAAAACAAATAAAGGAAAACATTAGAACACATGCTTATGGGTTATGAACATTTTTCTAAAGTGTTCTCTTAAACAGAGCTGGATCAAAGAAATCCATTTTAAGTGGCTTCACAGGAATAAAAGCAGGAAAATGATTTCTATAGCTGACCTGTAGTTTCAGAAATGGCTACTAAAAAAACATAATTTATGCCTTTAAAACAACTTAAACTATTTTAAGCTTAAATCAAGGTATCAAAGTAATCTACTAAATGAACTATAAATAATAAAAATAAAATAACAGAAATGATAAAAATGACAGTCTATTTTTTTTTCTTTACTGATTAAGGTATTACATATGTGTCCTTATTCCCCCATTGCCTATCTACCTCCCCACACATGCCCTTGACTGGAATCAAACCTGGGATTCTTCAGTCAGAAGGCCGACGCTCTATCCACTAAGCCAAACCTGCTAGGGCTATTTTATTTTTTAATGTAAAAAGCCCTGAAGCAGGAACACCCTTGGCATGTTCCATACATAGCAAAAAGCAGGACTCCATAGTTAAAGCAAAGAAATGATAAGAAGTGAGATCAGGAAAGATTGGGGGAGGGGGAGGGTAGAAGAAGGGTCTAAACTATGTAAGATCTTAACACTTAACCCCTGACTCACCTCAATCTGTCTATTGATATTTTACTCAACTTTATCCTTTATTCGTAGCAATCAGCCCTCTGATATTTTACTCAACAGTAAAAAAGAAGCCTGGAATCCTGAGAAAGGCAAGGCTTCCTCATACTTTGGAACTAGTCTCTTTCCCCAGCTTAAGTATTGGGTTAAGTAGACCACAGCATGAAAGAAAACACCATAATGAATGTTCTATAAGCGTCAGTACAAACTGCTAAAATCAGGTCCGATTCCATCCAACTCAAGTTGAATAGAGTAGTCAACTCCTATGGCATAAGGTCTTGTGCCTTATTTACTAGTTGCCCACAAATGAGCCTTTACCATACATTCCAAACTACGTGAAACTTTAAATAAGGGTTTCCCTGGTTATCCCAACTCACTATCTAAACTCAGGGACCAAACAGATCTGGATAACAAGGACTAGTTCTATTATTTAGTAACTATGGTGGTGAACAAGATGCAAACATGAAGAAGCGCACAGAGCAGTACTTGACAAAGTTATCACTCTATATGTACGTGTAGCTCCAACCCCTTCCCATTCCGTCACAGCTAGCCTCTGATGACAGAAGCAAAACAATGCACAATAAAAACTGCAGTGAAGCCAATTCTGCCATTTCGTGCTATTACTATTAAAAGGTAGCTATTTAAATCCACCATATTTTAATGACTTTCTTCTTTGAGGAAATACAGTTGACAGAAGCTGCTGCTAGAGGGAGACAAGGAAGAACGCTTCCAGGACACCATTAAATTTCTTTAGCCTCCTCCTTTCATCTATCAAACATAGCACTGGTGAAAATAAAGAGGGAATACAGAAAAACACAGCACAAGAAACCCTCCCATCTGCCTTCTTCTGAACCTTTCCAGTAGCTTGGAACTGGCTTCGATTAGAACTTTAGAATGTGATCACAATAAATCTAATATCCAATACCAGTAACTTGGAAAGGAGGCTGAAGTAATAGGCTTTCTACTTTGCTTATCTCCCCAATCTCACCTCTATTAATATTAATTTCACCCAACCCATGGACTGTCTCATCATGACAACAGATGGACAGAAGGACAATGGAAGACAGGCAGTTAACTAGAAACTAGAAAAGCAGGTGTATAGGGAATCTATTAAATAGAATCACTGTATTTTAGAGCTCAAAGAAACCTCATTTTTTAAAATAAACAGTTTAAATGTACAACTTAGGATACTAAGAATCGGGAATCACCACTTTGAGGCAAAGGCCTTCTGATTGGAACACACAGTGAAGGCACACACGCACAAGTGACCAGAGATAAACAGGGTCTAAAGACTATGTCACACAAGCCATTTTAAAATTTTCAATGCATCCTAAGAGCAACTGGAAACAGATGTTTTTTTTTTTTATAAATATATTTTATTGATATTTTACAGAGAGGAGGAAGGGAGAGAGATAGAGAGCTAGAAACGTCGATGAGAGAGAAACATCGACCAGCTGCCTCTTGCACACCCCCTACCGGGGATGTGCCCGCAACCAACGTACATGCCCTTGACCGGAATCGAACCCGGGACCTTTCAGTCCGCAGACCGACGCTCTACCACTGAGCCAAACCGGCTTCGGCTGGAAACAGATGTTTTAAGCATATAGTTATGTACACGTTCAGACTTACATTTTAGAAAAATAATTATCCTAAAAGGGTTGTTCCAAACAGAGGTTATTTTGGAATGAATCTTTAAAAGAGAAAAAAGCAGGGGCATTTATGGATAAAAATAACCCTTTCAAAGGCACAGAAGTATAAGAAAATTTTTTCTAAGTAAGTTGAGAAAAAAAAAAAAAACACACAGTAAAAATGTATACTCTGGCTCTGGGTGGGTGGCTCAGTTCCTTTGAGCATTATCCTGTACACCAAAAAGGTTATGGGTTCAATTCCTAGTCAGGGCACATACTTAGGTTGTGGGTTTGATCCCTGGTTGGAGTATGTACAGGAGGCAACCAATTGATATTTCTCGGTCCCATTGATGTTTCTCCCCCATCCCCACTCTCTCTAAAAATCAATTATTTCATAAAAGAAATAGACTGGCACCTCCCAAAAACATTTTTAGAAGAGGTTCCTCAACAAGTGACAATCCATAAACAGAAGTCCTCATCTGCAGACGTGGCATCTGCGTCTTACTTATTACAGTTTGCTCTTTAAGTGTTTGGGCAATAGCATGAGGTAACAATGTGAAAAACAATAGTACTTGAAATGCTCTATAAGAAGCAAATGAAATATGTTACAACAAATATGTACTTTTAAGTAGAAAGAGGAAGTAATTTTTCATCTGTTCAATTTTCATATTATACTAACATTTCCTCTATAAAATTGTGTATGTGAATAAAAGTTCTACAAATACTGAGAGTAAAGCCACTTCCTTTACCCTCCTCAACATACTCACTTTTCTCTGGAACCTGTGCTCAAGGTGAAAACAATCATCCAGGATCCAAGCCAGAGCTGTACTATATTATATGGGTCCTGCCTTTCTCGCCAAAATCCAATTCTCTCTCTCATAAATCTGAAACTCTGAGGTTGGAGAGAGTGACTGGAAATCTCAATAACTGAGAAATTCAGGAATACCCCAATTAAAATCCTTAAAATCATTTCCCTTTCCAAAGCCTGGATGTTCAACTTCTTCCAGGATTCTACAAGATACATTAATATCAAACTTGTTTAAATTAAAGCCAAAGTAATATATTGTTATTTGCAACCAAAAGGAAAAACTGAAATAACACAATGTTAAAACAGAGCTAATTCATCTATTAACGTAAGTTGGTTGGGACTTAATCATTTTAAACTTCCTTGAACTGTTCCAAGGTCTTTCAAGTTTTGTTACAACACAATTCTAAGGATTTCACGAGGTCATGGCTCAGGGTTACACAATGTTGCATAACCTCAATAGCACCATATATTTTTTTTAAATAAGTACTTAAAACTTTTTTATAACAGTATTTAGACCTAGAAGGGGTCTTCAGAGATTCAATCAGTTGAACCCACTAGTTTCAACACATTGATGTCATAACCTCTTTCATTCCTTTTCCCTTCAGAGTAAAAAGCTCAGTACTTGACAACCTTCTTCACTGCTTTCCTTACTATGAGCTTCTCTATGTCCACATATAAATTTTTAGGATTCTTTGTAGGTTGCGAGTTTTGCAACTACAAATATAGGAACACCCAGTTCAATTTGATAAACAGCAAATAACCTTTTCAGTCTGTCTCGAAGATTGCATGATGACTAGAAAACTATTTGTTGTCTATCTGAAATTCAAATTTAATTAGGCAGACCGTAGTTTATCTAACAAGTCTAGTTCTGTGGAGCTGAAAGAGCTGCCCAACAAGATCTACAGACTACCCATTCCCTTTATAACAGGAAATAGTGAAGTAGGAGCTGAAATTTAAGTTAGCTACACAATTGTGACACAGAATGTTATTGCTAAAGGGGACCTTAGAGACAGCTAGTCCAATATTCTCACTTTAGAGAATAGGGGGAAATTGTCCAATAAAGATGAGTGACAACTGGGTTGCCAGGAGAACCAGCCCTGTGATGAGAGGTTAGGAACTTTCAGTCCCATCACTACCTCCATAAAAACTCAGGAAGCCAGCTTGTGAGCCCTACATGCTACGGAACCAGGATGCTTCCACTGGCCAGGCCCCAAGCACCCTAAGGACAGATAATCCTTTGTTCAGGACCTCGCCCCGTATCTCTTCATCTGGCTATTGATCCTTATCTTTTGTAATGAATTGGTAATCTAGTATTAAACTGGTTTTCCTGAGTTCCCTCTGTCATGTCATTCTAGCAAATTTATCATCCCAGGGAACCTCTGATTTATAGCCTCTGAAGTACAGGGGACAACCTGAACTTGCAACTGGCATTCTGAGTTGCAGGAGAGGTTTGGAACTTCCAATCCTCAGCCAGATGTCAGAAGCACAAGTAACCTGAGTTCATGCTTCCAGGACATGAAAGGGAGGGCAGTCTTGTGGGCCTGAGTCCTTTACCTGCAGAATTTGATATTTATCTCCAGGAAGACAGTATCAGAATTAAGTTGAATTCTTGAGACACCCTTGCTGGTATTCAAGAAGTGCTTGTTAGTATGGAGGGAACCTACACCTCTATGTTAGAACTGGGTCCAAGAACCACATATAAACATGATGCTAAACAATAAAAATTTCTAAATTTGTTATTCTAAATCAGTGCATATGTACATGCATGCACATGTAACTAAATTAATAGATAAGAACAGGGCTATTTCATCTATAGCATTGGATATTTAGATATTCATGTTGGCCAATAAATTCTTAAAGTAATCTCAGAAAAAAGAGAGACTGCCTTGAAGTCAAATTACATTTAGGCACACACAGTATTTTTTAAAATTGTTCTTTGTTCTCCAGAATTCCCTGAAGACACTGCTCAATTCTGATTCATAGACTGTTTGCCCAGCGTGAAATGGCTCCAAGTTGTTGCTTTTAGTTGATATTTTCCCTACATCCCTATCAGGGAATCTGCTTCTGGATTCAGACTGATCATTCACTGGAAGCCTATGATTTCTATGAACTTTGCTACTTTCACAAAGTACCTACACAGACATTCATATAGAAATTCAACTGTAATATGCTTCACTAAAGTTTTGCTGGTCAAAGTCTGAAAAATGACAGTGACAGATGGGACAGAAAGGAAAAGAGCAACCTGGTTCTTATGTAGGATGACAAGGCAGCAGACCTTCTGTTCCACAGAAGGACAATATCAACTGATAAGAAGGTAAATAATTCTTTAAAGACTTTATCATTAAAAATGACACTGCACATTTTTTTTTTCCCAGAGAGAAAGGAAGAGTGAAAGTGAGATGGAAACAACAATGATGAGAGAGAATCATTGATTGGCTGCCTCCTGCAGGTCCTCTACTGGGGATCAAGCCCGTAACATGGGCAAATGCCCTTGATGGGAATTGAACCTAGGACCCTTCAGCCCTCAGGCTGACACTCTATCCACTGAGCAAAAGCAGCCAGAGCACACTCTACATTTTTGTTTCTGGAAGAGGAAGTTACTTACCTCTGCCTCTGCTGTCAACTGTTTCTTCTTTGCAATTATCTCTTTTACGTCAACCCGGCCTAAAGAAAAAAAAAGTAACTTTTAAATTGATGAATACCAGCACAATTTTCCCCCCCACCAGCACTATTTAAATCATTAGGTTGAAAAACAAACAAACAGAAAGGATGACTATGTAAACTACAGTACTACCACAAAACATGACAGCTCTTGAAAATGAAGCACGAGCAATAAAAACAGAAGGAAATCTATACATAAAAATACTAAGTAGAAAAAACAAAACTATATGTATACACAGTAATTACAACTATATATTATTCATATAATGCAATAATATACAATTCTGACAGCATGGGAAATTAGATTCTCTGAGTGGATCCTGCAACTGTGACTAATAAAATACACAAACAACATTTAAAATAATAGATAAATTGGACTTTAATATTTAAAAAAGCAAAACTTTTTTTTTTTCTTCTGCAAAACTCAGGGCACTATGAAGAAAATAAAAAGACAAGCCGCAGAATGGGTGGGTGGGGGAAGGGGTTGCAAATATAATCAGGATCTTGAAGCCACAATATTAAAGAATACTTACAAGTCAAATATAAAGACACATAATCCAATTTAAACATAGGCAATGTATCTGATCAGACATTTTTCCAAGAAAGATATAGAAAAGGCCAATACCACTTGAAAAAATGTTCAACATCATTGATCATCAGGGAAATGCAAATCAAAACCACAATGAAATTTCACTTCCTATGCACTAGAATGGCAATAATAAAAAACACATAAATATTACCCAGTTAGCATGGCTCAGGGATTGAGCATCAACCCACGAACCAGTACGTCACAGACTGATTCCCAGTCAGGGCACAGGCCGGGGCTCCAGGCTCGATCCCAAGGGTGGAGCATGCAGGAGGCAGCTGATCAATGATTCTCTATCTCAACATTGATGTTTCTCTCTCTCTCCCTCTCCCTTCCTCTCTGAAATTAATAATATACATATATATATATATATATATATATATATGTATATTAAATAAGCTCTTGTTAAACATTTTTGAGTAATTCTTGAAGAAATAATAGAATGGCTTTGTTTTCAGCTCTGCTGGATTCCCCAGCTGCCCTGCACCTTTTCCAGGACTGGTTCAAAGAAACTGGGACTTTAGAAACCGAGGAATATAAATCCACACAAATAAAGCTTTCTACCACATCTCATCCTTCCGAGGGGGCCTCTGGAAATTCTTATTCCAGCAGCATCCCAAGAACCCTACTCTCACTAGCAACAAAGAAATTCCACCTGTCAATTCTCTGATAACACTAGCAAAGTGTTACTTCCCATCTTCACTTTCTCACTAGCTATTCATTCCCAACCTATTTCTGCAACTCTTGTCTTTCAGGGGTTACTATGGAGCCCAAATTTCTAAAGCTTCATCCTCATTAAACCTGTTACAAATGCCAATATTTATGAACTATTTATTATGCACCATCTCATTTATTTTTTGTAACAACCCAGTAGATAAGCAAGAGAGTTGGTTTCATATCTATTTTTAAATATGAAGAAACTAAGAATCAAAGAAATTAAACTTAACAAGTCACATGGCCAGTAAATAACTGAACAAAGAAGTAAAACTAGGGGTCTTCTGTGCCCTAGTCATGCATTGTGCATCATAAAAATAAAAACAATCAAGGCCTATAGTGACTAAATTCCGAAAGATGACTAAAGAGTAGTAAGCAGTGACTAATATCCACTTCTTTGTTTCAGTCATTTTAGCAAATATATTCTTTTGTCTCCTTGTAGCAAGTACAGAATTAGTGCATAGGCACTAACAGATTTTTATTGCCTAGAAGTTCAAACTCATTTTAAAATCCTAATCATTTTCTTAAAAATTCTCAATAAGTATGCTTTAGAACAGTGATTTTTAAACAGTGTGCTGCAGGTATTGAATTTTTAAGACATTCAATTCCTGTCTATTTAATCAGAGGTATCGACCTCTTTTCCCTTAAATTTTTAAATAAAATTTAAAAAAATGACAACAGCCAGCACAACAGTAATCATCCAGTAAGAATGAATAAAAATTACATCCATTTTTTTAGTCAGATTAGCAAAAACTATATTTTTAGTGCGCTGCAGAATCTTAGTAATTACTCAATTTGTGCTGTGCTATGAAAAATGTTGAAAATTGCTGCCTTAGAAGAAGGTCATCCCGGCCTTGCCTAGCCTTCCAGAGATATGAGTAATCCAAGAGTCATGTGGAAAGTACTTTTATGTCCAGATAAAGAACTACTGGATTTAGAACTATTCCTTGAAAGATATTATCTATCTTTAAAATAAAAAGGGAGATAAAATAATTATAGTCTATCACCTTTTATTGCTCCACTGACCTCAAAATCTCAACTAATCACATGTCTGCATGACCATAAATAAGTGGATTCGGAACTAGAAACAAGGGTCAGTATACAAATATTCATACAGAAAAGAAGAGTTAATAGATAACATTGAAACAATTTAGCTAGTCATTTTGAAAAACTATATTAGAGATCTCTAACACTTATTATTAAAAATAAATTTCAAATGGATCAAATATTTGAATCCGAAAAGCACTAAGTAAAAAATTTGTCTTTCTTACATGACAAGAAATCTAAAAGCAATAAATACATGATTACATAAAAACTAAATGTGGCAAGGCACACCATAAGCAAAGTAAAAAAAAAAAATCATAGAGCAAGTTAAAAAATATTCAAAATATATAATAATCAGAGGATTAATTTTCTTAATAGAGAAAGAGCTCTTTAAAAAAAGAAAAAATAATAGTCACCAGATAGGGTACAAATATGTGCAAAGGACATGATCAGAGCTTTTAAAGAAAGAAATACATAGTCAATAAGTATATTTTAAAAGTTCTCTACCTCACTTATAATTTATGAGAACAAACTTATACTATGTGTTTTGTTCCCATCAAATTGCAAGTTTTAAAAAAGACCAAACCTTGACATATCAGGATTTTGAGAAGGATGTCCAACTGCAAACAAGATACAGAATATGGGGCAACAATATAGATGAGATATAAATCGGTATAACATTTTAATAAGTAAATTAAGAAACATCTTAATTTTAAATGCAAATACTCTTTGACTCAGCAATTTCACTTTTAAGAATGTATCCTACAAGTACTAGTACACTAGCACAAGTAAGCAATGATACTGTTTCAAGGATCTTCCATACAGCACTATTATAATACTGAAACCTTGGAAATAATTTAAATGCCCATCCATAGAAGTAAGTTAAATAAATTACCAAGCATTTGTGCAACAGAAATACTACACAGATACTTTTAAAAGAATTACACTTATATACACATCCTGAATAAAAAGATGTCTAAGAATTACTAAGTTTAGAATAAGCAAATTGCAGAAAATATTCCAAACACAATGCCACATATAGGAAAAGAAACAAAACATGACTACTTAAAGAGAATTATTACTTAATGACTTTCTATGATGCTTGCATTTTTAAATTAGTATATATTACTTTAAAACTTAAAAATTTACAAGCATATTTCAGCAAATTTTTAATGAAACCAAAATATCTTGCATTTTTTGAATTAGGACAATGAAGAGAAAATAGCCCCAGTATTTAGCATAAGGACAACAGAATGAGATTTTAAATGGGTAATATGAATAATTTATAAAAGTAATAAATGGAAATACCAATCACAATTGGTTTATAACTTTTTTAAAACTAAAAACAGATTTCTATTCTGTAATCAAAATAAATCCAGAAACTATATTACTCAATCAGAGTTAACTTTGCTTTATTTTTCTTTTATCACACACCTGTATCAACTGTGTGGCTTACCCACACAGAGCTGAACAAAACTAGGTTTACAGTTGTGAATATGCAAAACAGAGTTAATAAAACTATTGCAATAATCATAACCTGTGTATCTCTTTCCATACAAATAGCTGTACACTACTTTTGCCACCCCTGTATATGCAATAAGAGAATTAGCCTTATTATCATTAAACTTTTATAACATCATATGATCCCATTTTTAAATCCAAAGAGAGAATGTCTGGTAAAAATATTAAAAGATTTCATGTAAAAAAATATCTCATGTAGATTTTAATTCTTAGTTGATTTATTATATAGTATATAGCAGAGAACTGTAAAGCTACCTAAGAATCTGGGACAGAGAGCTGCAGCACCATCAATGAGGAGATAAAATAACACCTTAATGAATCGAGTGTTATATATTGTAAACAGTGCCTTCACATTTGCCCTCCTTTGTTCTGCAAGAGGAAATCTAAGCACTGACAGGCTATAAGTCATCCACTACGTAGGCAGTCAGTCATGACTACATACACAGTAGCAGTAAGACTTCAAGCCCTACTTTCTCATTTCCTCCTGGCCTTTCCAATTTTGTCTTCCTATCTATGAAAGCAAAACACAAATCCATCTGTACTACTCCCTCTGCCCCCAGCAATTCTCTATAAAAGTAAACAAAACACCATATACATAATCTATATTGTCTTAAACTCTATGCCTTTGTGAACCCCTATCTTCTGGCCTGAAAGCTCTCTCCCAGTCACTTGTTCAAAGGCCAAATTCTACTTCTGTGAGACTTCCTTCCATTCTAAAGCAAGGTACCCCTTACCCTGTTGGTCTCCTATTCCATTTAGTTACTATAATTTACTTAGCTCTGACTTATAACATAGGACTGCTTTCTGTTTTAGTATCTTATTTATCTAAAGTATTAGCAAACTTGGTACATTGCCTTATACACATATAAATCAAAGGTGCTTAATGGCACTAGACTACTAACCTGGAGGCAGTAACCAGACTTTAATCTCAGATGCATGTGTTGCATGTAAGGGCATAATTAAATGACAGCTAAGACCAATTCTTATTCTAAGTGCCTGGAATTTCAAAATTTAACTTTTGATAAAGTTACTAAAACTAAATTCTAGAATGTTCTGTTTTATTATTGACTAGTAGTCTTGCACATGTATCTGTGCGCCAATAGCTTGCTGCAGCTCTCTAGTAGCTCTCTGCCCACCGCCCCACCCTCCTGTAGCTCCCTCTGCTCCCCCACACCCCCCCCCCCGCTGCACACCCCCCACATAGCTTGCTGCTCTCTGCTCCCTCCTGTAGCTCTCTGCTGCCCACTTATAGCTCACTGCCCATCCTCCTGCTGATCTGTGATCCAGTCATTAAGCTTCACAGTGTAATGACTATTTGCATATTACATCTTTATTATATAGGATTTTAAAGAGAGAGAATATTGATTATTCTGCTTATTAGTGTATTCAATGGTTGCTTCTTTTATGTGTCCTGACCAGAGATCAAACCTTGGCATTATCAGGACAACACTCTAACCAACTGAGTTACCTACCCAGCCAGGGCCAACAATGTTCTTGATAGAACAATGAAAATATTAAAAAATATAAGCTCTTTCCTCAAACATTTTATCCATACATATTTCTTGCAACTACCATATTAATTAACCATACTAATATTTTCCCCATTAGAAAATGGTTACAATTTATTATTATACTCCTGCCCCGGGTTTTGGCAACACATGGAGATAAAATCAGAAAGAATATCTCTTTAGAAGCAAAACATATCATAGACTTCCTTTCAAAATAGTCAGGTTGTACCTCATGCCCCATTATTTAAAACTGAATGTATCTATTATGCCTGGGCAAAATTGAACCCAAATGATTTTTTAGCAATTCTCTTAGAAGACAAATTTGCCTCAAATACATTTCACCTCAGAAAACAATAATCACTGATAATATTTTGTAGGCCCTCTTAAAATTTGAAACCTTTATGGGCTGATTTTTTTCAGTATAACTTTTCTTTAAAAAAAGTTTAAAAAGCTGTCAAAGAAAGTACCAGCTAATGTCTTCTATTTTTTTTGACTAATCTTCCTATAATGAGCTAAAACATTCAATCTCCTTCTTTTGATCTTAAAAGCTATAAAACAGAGCAGCAGCTGCCAGGCTGGGAGCAGCCAGGCCAGGAGCAGCCGGGCCCAGAGCAGCCGGCTCGGGTGCAGCCAGGCCCGGAGCAGCAGCAGCCAAGTCCAGAGCAACTAGGTCGGGAGCGGCAGTGACCAGACCCGGAGCAGCTGATTGTGGAACGAACCAGAGCAACAGAGGCCAGGCCCTGAGCAGCCAGGCCCGGAACAGCTCGCTCCTCGCCTGCCCCTGCCCCACGGCTGCCTCTCAGACATGGCTGGAAATTTTTGCGGGAACTTGAGGGTCTGCTGAATCAAGTGATGAAGGCTTAGATCTGGATGTGTTGAGTTAGTATAGGGCTGGGGTGATGATCTGTGAGTGCCTTGGATGGGGCCTGGATGAGGCTAGTTGACCTATTTGGAAATGTCTTTTGTGTGAAGTGTATCATTGGGCATGTGGAGGTATTATTGATATGAGAAAATGCTAAGTAACTGATTTACTATCTGAAAAGGTATTTACTATCAGGGAAAGGGAGGGAGGAAGAGACTTTACATAAACTGTGCACCTATGGATGAGGACAATGGGGGATCGGGAGGGGGCGCAGGGTGGGGTGGGAACCTGGTGGAGGGGGGAAGAAATGAGGAACCTTTGTAATAATATGAACAATAAAGATTGATTTTAAAAAATTAAAAAAAATAAAAGCTTCAAAAAAAAAAAAGCTATAAAAAGTATTAATTAATATTCAGTAACTTTATTTCTGCTGGTAACTATGTTACTTCTCATTGCCCAAAGCATTTTTTCTAGTTAGTAAAATTTTTCATCTCTCAGAATACCACATAATTTACTTAAAAGGTTACATCATCCATGACTGAAAAAAGTTTGAAGTAATAGGTAATCCCATATTGCCACTGGGAGTGCAATATTTCCAGAGGACATATTTGGCAATCTCTACCAAAATAATCATATAATATGGATTCCCTTTGACCTAAAAACAATTTTCTTGGAATGTATCCAAGGAAAAAATCACAATCATTTGGACGTTAGCATATCTGCTTTTGCTAAAACAAACATGCTTTTGCCTTTATCCTAAGTGGGGTGGGAGGGAATGTATCCTCAACCTATTCAGTAGATAAAGGCTCTATGTGGACTGGTCAGTTTTATGATTAGATGCATATATTGGATGAAGGGGCAAGATTATAAAATAACTGATTTTTTTTTTCATTTTTGTGCCAATATATTTTCAAAATATATTACAAAAGGCCGAGAGACATAAAAAATCCTATCTAATAAAAGAGTAATATGCACATTGACCATCACTCCAATACATAAGATGGCCACCCCCAAAGATGGCTGCCCCATGTGGACACAAGATGGCCAACAAAAGATGGCCGGCAGGGAAGGGCAGTTGTGGACAATCAGACCAGCAGGGGAGGGCAGTTGAGGGGGACTAGACCTATAGAGGAGGGCAGTTGGTGGAGACCAGGCCAGCAGAGAAGAGCAGTTAGGGGTGACCAGGCCGGCAGGGGAGGGCAGTTAGGGGCAATTAGGCCAGCAGGGTAGCAGTTAGGTGTTGATCAGGTTGGCAGGGGAGTGGTTAGGTGGTAATCAGGCTGGCAGGCAGAAGTGTTTAGTGGCAATCAGACAGGCAGGCAGGTGAACGGTTGAGCCAGCAGTCCTGGATTTTGAGAGGGATCCCAGATTGGAGAGGGTGCAGGCTGGGCTTAAATTACTCTGATTTTTACATATTTTCAGAACTCCCCATTATTTAGTTAATATTAAGTTTTAATTATTCCAGGTTTTAGATATTAAAAATTAAATTCTTAAGCTTACTAGTAAATTAAGTATGACCTTCTTCTTGGTTTAATGTTAAGTATTGCTCATCTGAAAATAAGATTGTGTTTCTCTAGTTGTTTAAATATTTGGTCACAATCTTATTTTCAGATGAGCATTACAGCAATCAATAATCTTCATTATGCAAATGGAAGCTGAAACATTTTGGGGATCCAGCTGCTCATACTTACAATAAATTAAACTGAGAAAAGCAAACGAATGTTTCTTTATTTAAGAAGTTCATGATGCCAGAGAACTTGTCTCAAAGTTTCGCTTCTATTTGTTAACCAAACAAGCCTCAGACTTTCAAATCCTTGTTGAAATGAAACCTATACAAATGTCATTGCAAAAACAAATATCCTGATGCAATAAATGACATCAGTTGGAGCTATCCATCTTAAGTATAAACCTTGACCTTAATAAGTATTATGTCATACTTATCTTTGTATTCATGTGCTAAACAGACTTGAATATAAGAATAAAACTTCCTAATCTCTCTACATCTCCTAAGATGTATAGCCCAGTAGTGAACTAGGTTAGTTATCCTGGTTATTACTTTCAGACTCATTACATCTGTTCAGAGAGTAATCAGTAGTACTTATTCATAATAATCCAATTATGTTCATTGCAGATGGAGGGTTACTTATTCACTTAACTCAGAGCTCCATGAGGATTGATCACTACTGTAAGCCTCAAGCACCTAGCAGGGCACCAATCATTATTGGTAGGATAGGTGGTTGAAGAAATTAATAAATGGATGAATGGTGTCTAAAACATGGTAGATACCCAAAAAATAGTCACTGGATTAATTAAGAACTTGTTTTCTAATGTATTCATTACATAAAACACTATGTAATATAAATCCTACATTAGAGTATACATTGCAAACTCCATTTACATCAGTAAAGCTTACTTCTATGAGATGTGCCATGTCACCAGTAGTATCTAAGGTGGCTGTGACCAACAATTAAATTGGTGTTTCTTTACACTATTCTCAGTATAGTTTTCCCTTCTACATCTTTGCAGTGCCTGCCAGTAAATCCATGTATAATAAAGAGAGCTAAAGAGAAGGCTCAGTGCTCTAGAACTTAGATCTGCTCTCTTTCATTAATTCACCTCAAAAACAAATGAAAAGCCTCACCATTACTAGGTGTCTCTGGGGCCTGCTTTGCAGGGTTTCCCTGGTCTTCCTTTTCTTCAGGACCGTCACTGGACTTTGACAGCCGTTTTCTTAGAGACATCTCCTCGCCCACCATGGTGTTATCTAGGAAAAAAGATGCAAAAGTTTTGAACCAAGTATCTGGTTTAGGCAAATTTCACAATATCACAATATATAGCAGTAAAAGAATGATATATTCTCTCCCTTCTGTTTTACTTTGATCATTTTTAAGCATTTTCTGAGTATAAGATACTATAACAAGTGTGAAGAAATTAGCCCCATTAAAGTAACTGGTTTCAAAGGCTCTTATTTAAACATAGCCCTCATTCTTAAAGAACATTTTAATTGAACAAGGCATAAGTTTGTAAAAAAATCATGTAAAGGTTTCATGGAATAGAAAGTATCTTGAAGGAGTACAGGGCACTCATGGGTAAGAAAGGGTTAAAATAAGGAGCCCTGTTCAAGAGATCCCAACAGACCACATTACAAGAGGACAAGAAACAAGCTTTTGTTGAGTATCTACAAAGTGGAAGGACTCTGCTATGTGCTTTCCGTTTTCCCATCTAATCTTCATAACAACTCTGCAAAACAGATGGTGTTACTCCTGGTTTTCATGTGAGAAAAAAAAAATAAGACTTACCCTAACTGGTTTAGCTCAGTGGATAGAGCATCGGACCTGCGGACTCAAGGGTCTCAGGTTCGATTCCTGTCAAGGGCATGTACCTTGGTTGTGGGCACATATCCAGTAGGGAGTGTGCAGGAGGCAGCTGATGGATGTTTCTCTCTCATCAATGTTTCTAACTCTATCTCTCTTCCTTTCTCTCTCTTAAAACACCAATAAAATATATATATTTTTAAATGCTACTTCAAATAATTTTTTAAAAGTAAGGCTCAAAGTAGTTACTGTCAATACCTTCCACCCCCACACCAGTTGCACAACGTGGGTTTACTGGGAACACACACCATGGGAAACTGTGGGGTGACTCAGTACGGGAGCATTAGAACTGACTTACTTAGGATTTGGAACTTGGCTAGATGATTTTGGGTGAGAATATAAATAAGCAGAGGTTCACTGTTGCTTGGATGAAAGTCAAGACAATGCTATGACTGGGTTTCCCAAGAAATCTCCATGGGAAGGCTCCCTAGAAGGAAGATAAAGCTGGACTTGATAAAGCAGAAACCCTAACTGATGTTATTCTAGGGAGGAGGATGCTGGAAATGTTGTGACTTGGACAATGATCAGGTTTTGTTTGTGTTCAGACATGATGATGGCATGGACTTGTTTTTGTCTTGACCCATCGTGGCACAGAATGCCTTTTCTGATGCTGACGGTCAATAAAATTGTTTTCAATGGAGCACCCAGAACTAGCTTTAAGCACCGGGCTATCTCGCAGCATCACTGAGGCCTAGCTGACAGCCCCCGTGCTGCTCCCAAGTGCCAAGGGCTGCTTTCCTCCTTCTCATTACAGTAACCTGTGGAGACCACACAGATAATGACAGGGTCATATTTGAATCCAAGTCCAATTCAAACAACACTATTTCAATTTTAAGTTGACAAAAGAGAAATATAACAAGAGGAAAGACTAGAAAAGAGAGATGGAATCAAAGTGTAAAGGCCTAAGAAATGAGGAATTTTTTTTTCTTTCTGTTAGGCAGTGGTGAGCCATTTTAAGCACTGAAAAAAATATGATCAAAGTCAAATTTTGGACAGATCAATGTCAAGACAGAATAAGGCTTACTCCAAAGCAGTGTTTATTATATATTACATTTTCATTAATCTGAAGCAAAAAGAAAAAACAATGAAGTACTCACCACATTAGTTTTACAGCTACATATTTTTTAATTCTAAGATTAACATCTTTCTAAACTTTTAGGTTAAATTGTTCTTTTCTGTATGAAATATAGTACATGGGAGTTTGATTGTTTTCTTAAATATCACTGCTTGACAAAGTAAAAATCTGACAAATGTAGATCAGTTCCCTTCCAATATTTTCTAAAATTTAACAAATGAAACAATTTTGGAAGGGTAGATGAATGTGTCAAGTAGAAATTTTAGGAAACCAATTAGATCTAATTGAGAGGAATCTAGGAAAGAGGTAAGGGCAACTGACAGATCTGAAAGGCATTTGTGTGACAGTGACAGAGGAAGCCAGAAGAGCTTCTAGCTCTCCAACAGAAAAGATCAAAGAAGTGAGAGCCGACCACTAAACTCTGAAAGATGTCCTACACATCTTTAGGTAACACATCAAGAAGTAGAAAATAAACCAGGGAAGGAAACCATAGAGATTGAGAAATGCAAAAAGAACCCAGATGTTTAAAAAAGGAACTACACAGGGAGAAAAGTGGATTAAAAACCGACTCTACTTTTGAGTGCTTATATGCTTTATTATACATGTATGACGTATTTTAGTTTCAATATAATCTTTAATGTAGTTACTATTATTACCTTATTCCTCAAATGTCTTTGGGCACCATGTTTTCTGTTACCCTCTTTCCTGTCTCTAGAAAGCCCATTCTCCTCTGCCTTTCTTTATCTAGCTAGCCCTACTCACCCTTCAAAGTAAGAGTCACAACCACAGCAGCAGGAACAGCAATGGTAACCACTGCAGCTTTGACTTAGTGAGCAGCTACCATGTGCTGCTGAGTCCTTTCCGTTTTCTTATCAAGTCTTTACAAAGTTAGAAAGTAGGTATTATCCTCATTTTACAGATGAGAAAAATATTGTTAAGGAAGTGATTTAACTTGCCCTAAATCATATGATTCTCTAACAGCACAACTGGGATTCAAAACCAGAACTACCGGATTCCACAGCCTATCCTGTAATCACCAGACCCCGGGTCCTCTGCTAAGGTTCCTCTGACCACCACGTCATCTCACATTTCTGGCGCTCCCACTGTGACTAACACCTTACTACTTACTACACTCAGAGAGCAATGCTGTCTCCCTCTTATACTAACATAAGCTCTTCAAAGACAGGGACTACGTGGTATTTACTCGTTGAATCCCCAAAATCTAGTGGGGAGTCCCTGCAGCATGGCAAGCATGCATTATACAGAATGTGGATGTATCAGTTAATACCATAACCCATTATCCTAAGTAAAAGGATACAATGCTTTGAGAGAATCAAGAGAAAAATATATGCTATAAGGAAGCCAGTAAGCATCATCTTTACTGTTAACACCTTTACACATCAACTGCTCTTAATTGGGGGAGAGGGGGTTCCTGGGACTCTTAAAGGTATGCAAAAACTATTTTAACTATTTCAGTAATAAAAAAATTATAATTTGTCACATAAAACAAACAATACAGGCTAACAAAAATAATGTCACTTTGCTTTTGGCTGAGTCTATCAATTCAGTGAGAAATCAGTTCTCATGCTGATTAAAAGCACTGATTAAGAGGTGAAAAAAAATACTAAACCAAGTTTGACAAATAAATGATGTCTGATAGACCAAAAAAAAGTTAAGCCTGGATACCCTGTAGAAAAAGACCTTTGTCATGAAATTAGGAACCATCAGCCTCACCTAAAGCTAAAACAGCAGTCCTAAGTTTGCACCATCACACTGCCATAATTCCACCTACTTATTTTAGAAGTGAGCCAAAGAAGAAAATTCTAACGTCATAACAAAACCTTTTTATCAGAGCCTAAACCAATGTCTCAGGCCTCAAATTCCTCTATTATCAGGAAGAACTGTAAAAGTGGAAAAGCACAAGATTCGGTATCAGAATACAGTAGTTTAGGTCTTTGCTCCATCTTATCATTATGTTCTTGGGTAAACCTTCCAAACTCTCTCAATCTGTTTCTTCATCTAGAAAATTAATATAAATGCTGCTACAGTGTATCATCATAAAAAAGTATGATAATATGCACTAAAGTGCCAACATTTTATTAACAACCAAATGTAAAGAATTAGGTGATCTGATATTTACACACGTACCTCCTCTCTGCTAAATGACAAACATTAAGCCATTGTATTCCTCAAATTCTACTTGTTTGCTTTATGACGTACTAAATGAGGGCAAATAAAGTGCTAGAATTACATACTTCCTCAAGTGCAGCTCAAACATCATGTGGTTTTCAAGGTAATATTAACATTTTATTATTGTCATACATACAGATGTTAGGAAGGATAACTATTACTTAAAATGGCTCACCTCAATTCTGACCAAATCCTTATATCACATAGATGGTAAAATTATAAGATGATGTGTAAACTGAGTTCCTTCCTGCCATGCATGTCAGCTAACAGTGTATAGCTGTTACAGAAAAAAAAAAAAATAGAGGCAAATTATAGTAATGCTCAGCTCATTGTTCCTTCTCTAGACAGATGAATCATTTTGACCTCTGTATGGAGAGCAGACCACAATGAGGTCAAGAGTGCAAGCAAAGGGCCAGTGAGCAGACACTGCATTTATCCAGGTGAGGGAGGAAAGAGACCTTTTGACCACTCATCTAAAATAGAATTGAATGAAATGGTGGTTTCTTCCTTCTGTACTATTTTTTAACGTAACACACAGAGCAAACCAATCTCGACAGTAGCTAGGCAAACAACCTGAGCTGTTGCAAAGTCAGTAATTCAAACTGTAACTAATGCTACATGGTTTCTAAGTGCTAACATGGAACACTGATCCTATGTGAGGTGTTCCATAGTGTTTTCTTGCCCTCACATTAACACAACACCTTAACACAACACCTGGGAGGGGAGTTCTCCTCCTGGTGTCCTATTATCTCCAGGTCACCTCTCTCTTCCCCAGGTCAGCTGGATTATCACAACTGATATCTCTCCAGTCTTCCTGATCAGTCCCCTCATTCACTGAGGAAGTGAACACCTCACTCACTCCCCATCTCCTCACTAATTCTTCCACACTTCATCACCATGTACACAGAGTCATCCAATACCCTGTTTTTCAATCTCGACCTCTTCTTGTCTCCAACAAGCTGTTCCTATGTCTGCTACACCTTCTCCTAGAACTTGCTGTCACCAACAACTATTCGGATTTCCAGCATCTAACCCTTTGAACATCACCAGTTCACTTACTCTGATACCATCACATAAATTCTTTAATTCCCTTCTCAAACCAGCTCACATTTCTCTG